TATTTTGAACTAATTAATAAAATTAATCAATTATTTTTTTTAAAAGAAGAAAGAAAAAATACCAAATAAAGCAATAGCCATGGTTGAAATTGTATTTAAATATCCAGCAGACTCAGAATCAGATGTAGTTCCTTTTGTACAAAAGCATTTAACTCCAGCAATTCCATTAACTTGGCAAACTTCACATTTATACATTTTTTGATTGTCTTTTCTTTCACTTTTATCACATTTATTGTTTGGATAAACACCTAACCATAAATACCCTTTCTCTTCGTCGAATTTACAGTAATCCTTTTTATCAGTACCACATGGAAGACATTCCTCTGTATAATACACTCTTGCTGTATCATTAGAGTGTAAACATTTATCATCATCTATACTTACAGCAGTCTGTGCAACATATTCAGGTAATTTCCAATTTGAAGTGTACATGGATTACCTACACAAAGAATTTTCTTAGTAAATTCCTCAGTAATATCATATACACTTGTAATGTAGTCATCTCCTTCACAACTCGAAGTTTCACTATATGTGGTGACAGAAATTTCAGTTTCACTGATCTTTCTATATATTGAGGATATCTTCGATGAAACATAATTACATTTACCAAATTCAACTCCAGTGTAACCACTTAATGGGAGCCCTGTACCCAAATCAATATTCATAATAAAATACTCTGACATTGCAACAGAAATGAACAGTACAAAACATAATGCCTTCATTTGATATGTGATTTATCAGTTACTCTTCTTTAAATACTTCATTTGTCATTATTTCCATTTTTTATCATTTCATAAATTTTCATGTTTAACTTATCCTTCATTCTCTTAAAACTTCTCTTTTTATATATTTTGCATGAAAATATAATAAGAAAATAACACCTATTGAATAACGAACATTCTTTACTATTCATTTTGTTCAATTATTCATATTTTATTCATCAATTTCTTCTTTAAAAATATTAATAATGTATATTTAGGTATGATGGTTTGTAATTTTGAACAAAAAAAAATGGAGAAGTTATTTTATTTAAAAGGAGAAGTGATTCAATTTTAATTCATTAAATAATTTCTTTTTTTCCTTTTTATTTGTTTCTTATTCTTAAAGTATTCTTATATGATTTAAACTCTTCATTTTTTATATTGTCTTATTATTTTAATTTCAATTTTTTTTCATCACCTTCCAACATTCTTCTACTTTTATCGTATTTTTCAATTTTCTTTTCTTGAGTTGATTACCTTATTATTAGTTAGTTAGTTTATTGTCAACATTTATTGAATATTTCAATATCGTTTCTTTTAAAATTAAAATAAACGTGAATAAAATAATAACGAAAATTTTGTTTATTTTATTCTGTTTATTACATTAAACATAGTTATTATTTACACTATTACATACTATTAACTTTTTGTTCTATTAATTCAAAAGTTTAATAATAATATGATGAAATTTAATGAAACTACAATACTAAATATTCAATTATCAAATTGTATTGTTTTAGCTGGTAAATCAAATGAAGAATTTAAATATATTCAATGTTATGAAATATTTCTGTAAATGCAAAGAAATAATGTATTCAGTTACCAATAAATTGTATAATTTGAAATGAAAATCGTTATATTGAATGTGAATATTGATATTATCTTAATTTAAATACAAAAACATGTGAAGTACTCAAAAATGGATGTAAAATTGGAAATGAAACATATTGTTATCAATGTAAAGAAGGATTTATTAAAGAAAATGGAGAATGTAAAGAAAAAGATAATAAATGTAATAAATCAGAAAGAA